GCAGAAAACAAAAGAATAGGAAGCATCATCAGCAAAACTTGAAATGGCTCAGCGATTTACTGCAGAGCAAGTACTGAATGAAATCAAATATTAGTGTCACTGTCACTTGATGGTGGATCTGGTGAAGAAGCAGTCAACGATCAAAATATTGATTTTGAAGATGTTGAAAATTATAGTTTGAGAATATGTTTGAGATTGCGAATATGAGCCAGATGCTGAATGTACTGGGAAATGAGCTCTGATGATGACAGTGATGATGGTATGAAACATCTGCTCAAACTGAACCTTTCCAAGCTCCAAAATGTGACGAAATATGCTTTATAAAATGCATTATAAAATGACAATTTAAATATGCACAATTATTGTATACTCATTTTTATATAATCATTAAAACAAATACAATATGCTAAAAATATGGGCCTATGCAGTTGGTGATATTAAAACATTTCAACATTTAATTAAAATAAGTACTTCTACTTTTTAGTAAAAAAAAAGTCATTTGTGAACAAACAAGTCTGATTCAAACCACTGAATTCTGTTCAGGCTGAGGCTGTTTTGTTAATCTTTTTGACTGACTCATTAAAAAGAATCACTTCATTAGAGTTATCTGTTCACAAATCGAACATCACACGCTGTGTTCGTTCTTGCGTGCAGAAAACACCGCGCACAAGATGATATCGGACAATACTGCATGTGAACGTGCAGAAACTAAATGCTGGATTTTAAATTATAGCCAGCTTTTTTGAAGCATTTCTGACCATCTTAGGCGCAGTCTACTCTGGAGCCCTGCAATCTCTCATTCGCTTTTCTCCAAATACAAAAAGGCACAAACTATAAAAGGACCCTCCAAAGGATAGAGAACAACACTAGAAAAAAATGCACCAAAACCTTTGAGTCACTGTTGCGCAATTTCTTGTGTTGCTGATAAAAGGTCCTACGTTTAGACAATTCAAAACCCTCAGCCGATAAAACACCACACTGTGTTGCATAAAGTAAGCCCTGTGTAAATTTATAATTCAGAATAAAGTTTTCTCTGTGGTGGGAGGCAATCTAACTTTGCCTTAGTTTGACAGACAAGCTATTCCAATTGAACATACAGTAAGATACTTTTTGGCAATAACAGCAACTAGGTCAGGCAGCACATGCAATCATCTCACAATATACAGAAATATGACATCATGCCCTGAGTGACAATGTGCAATGAAAGCAAAATCATGGCCTTATAAAGCTGCGCGAAACCTTGGTCACACATAATAGCGCTGCTGATGAAGGCCTGAATGAAAGGCTATAATCAAGTGCATATAGAGGACTCAAGACATATGAGCTTTGCATTGAGTTTCTCCACTCACATAATGCTGAAAGCACACTTCAAATCAATAAAACTGAGCAGCCACCAATGAAATGCCTTTGAGAGTGTCAAGAATGTGGCAGATCAACAAAAGGATGAGGTATAAATTGCTTGTGATACAAAAAAGGCTACAGCTGACCGTCAAGAGAAAGGTAAAAATTAAAAGAAAGCAAGAGAAAGAGCCCACACAAAAAAAGATTAAGTTTCCTCTAAAACTTTAAAGCCTTGACATGACACAATACTTGTGGTAAATATGGAACCTGTTATTAAACAGCTTTTTTTGTTTTTATAAAAATAAACAGTAAAATAATTCTGAAAACAAAAACCATTCATGAAACAGTGACAAAATAAAAGAAAATATAAAATTAATATTTAAATTTACACTATTATATTCTTTTGATATAATCAGTATAACTAATACAATATGTTAATAATATGGGCCTATGAAGTGGACATTAAAACAATTTTTTTTATTTATTTTTTTAGGTAAGAACTATAAAAAATACAATTCAGAAAAAAAAGGTACTTGGGGCTAAAAATCATAAAACGGCAAAAACAATGATATGGAAATAATTAATATGGGCATTGGTGATATTAATAAATGTCTATTTAATTTAAAATATTATTAAAACATTTTTTTTAGTATTGTCATCACATGATGTCCAGTGTAAAAAATTTTATCACCCAAATATAGTTTGCCTTAAGTCAGTTCAACGTTAGAGTTGGACTTCATATGTTAAATAATAACCAATATATGTTTATGTATGTTTTATAACAATATCATCATAATTAGTATTATAGAATATTTCTATGCTATATAGTAAGTCATACAAAACTAAAGTATACATATCCAGCAGTAACAGACTCTGGATATTAATAATTATATTAATACATTTCAATGTTTAATTTAAATAATTACTTTTATTTTTAGTATAAATTTAAAAAAAAATCATAAATTACGTTATAAAGATCATAAATTAAAATAATAATAAATATTTTTAATTGTATTTGAGTATTTTGTCATCACTTGATGACCTGTGTAAGATCTGGGTTCTAAATTGTAGCACAATTGCTGTAGACTGTTTGTGGACAAAAAGTGCTGCTTCAAAATATCAAAAACCCAGCAAGAGAAAGTAAAGCACAGCCAGTGTTGTAAAATGCTTTCTTCATAAAAAGTTGCAGAGAGAAGAATCAACGCTTTGAGCATCTTGTGGGAAAAAGACTGCAGGAAATAATGGTGCTCTGTCATTGAAGAAAGAAACAAAGAGGAGGGTGCAAAAGGGTTTGATGTGAGACGTCACAGGTAAAGACGGCAAAGTGAAGGGCGGGACAGAGATGAGAGAGCGAGGGAAGGATGGGACTAGAAGGTCAGACAGAGAGAACAAAAAGAAAGGGTTCGATTCAGCCACGGTTGAAGAGAGATACATAAATAACAAGACTGACAGGTGAATGGAGGCTCTTTTTTGTGTCGAGACTGCATTTATAAGCATGCACAGCTGAGAAGTTCGCTTTAAGTGCTGACAAAAGGCTGTGAAAACCGAGTATACCTGAGAGTGAAGCCATCTGGGGCTGTGAAGTGCTGTTTGGGGAGGAACGTTAAGAATATGTTGACATAACTGATAGGACCATGCTAAATGTGTTGATAGTGTGAAGGGTTTGCTGAGTTCTTTGTGAAAGAGACATCCATATACACTCTTCTCAACAACCTCACACCAGTGCTTGCAAACACACACAAAGCACAGAGCTCAACGCGTAAAGAGTGCAAGTCAAATTTCACAGTATCAAACACTATCAGATTAATATATCACAACAAAATTATGGCAATTTATTATGTGGCAGATTATTTGATAGATCCATTTACTCAAAAATACACAATTTGTACATATCATTATTTTAATACACCTCTTCTATGATGAGCATGTTGTTAATTTCTGAAACTAAATTCTTTTTAATATATTTTTTTTTGAGTATGTAGAGACCTGGATAAATGTTTGTGTTTCTAAACGTATAACTGTCGTTTTCTTTGAAAAGAGAATTTTATTATTTGTATCTTGGGTCTGAAAACATACACTCAAACAAAGTGTAGATCGACTTTGTTTTTTTTTTATGTTTAAATATGAGACATGTTTATAAAGTTTTTTTCAATATGTGTGTAAGGGAAAACAACTCATAAAATGGCTGCATTTTATTGAGTATTCTGAGAGAGTTTCAGTTGGACAATGAAAACGGTGGACTTTGACCCCTAAATCTCTCGCGAGGGTTTTTTTTTTTTCTGGGAAGTTCGACACGAGGAAAGCTGACAGTGGTCGACGCTCACGCAGATTTTTTGGTTTTAGTGCTAGCTCGGTGACGAGAGTATAGTGTGAACTGAAAAATTCATGGATGAGTTTGCAGCTTGCCGAACGGAAAAGAAATGCGAGAGAGTTCGCTGAAAGACTGCATGCGCACTTCAGTTTCACGTGAGTAAAAGAGATAGAGGATATCTAGCACGAGGATCCCATGTGAGAAAATCTGTGTTTTTTTCCTATCATCGTTGATTTGTTTTATTAGTTTTACTTGTGAAATCCGGAAGAATATATCCGTGTTTATTTTCTCAAGTTCAGTGTTGCAGTTTGAGATATAAGAAGTTGAGTAATTCGTGTGAAATCCGGAAGAATATACCCGTGTTTATTTTGGGTAAAAGTACTGCAGTGGAGTATGTAGTTGGGAATTCATGTCAACTGTGTGTTTATTGTCTTTGACACCGAGTGATTGTCGAAATCGGGAGATCTGTGTGGATTTTCGCGGATGCATCTAACCACCACGAGGGAGGAGTTCATCGAGGCCTACTCAACGTCGTCGTGGGTTGCGTCACGGTTGCTGTTTGTCATCTCGTTGAAGAGTGAGCATTCTGCAATTGGAATTCTTTTTCCTGATTCGTGAGTAGCCTACTCTGGTTTTGCATCAAAGAGCTCCAACTAGCGCGCCATCTGTGTACTGAAAATCCCAGCTGGGTAAATTTATTACATTGACATTTTATTTTATTTTATTTTATGGTGATTATTGGTTGTGACTTTGTGAATTGAATTATTTGGTCATTCAAAGAGGAAAAAAAAACAAAGACAACAGAGTACTGAGAATAATAAATGCATGTTTATTGATCTGCCATAATTTTGTGTGATTTCCTGTGGAAAGACTGTTTATTATTAATTATTATTTTTTTCCTTTGAGAGATTTGTATTTAAAAAATCTAAAGGTAAACACAATAGTGTTTTTTTTATTATTATTTCCAAATAGAAAACACAAATCTGACACTATCAGGTGAAGATCTGAGATCTGGGTTAAGTGTTGATACTGTAACTGAAGGGAAATGTGCCTCCACCGGGGTAGTGGATAAATTTAAGATCCCCTAGACAGATTCTTACATTGTGAGCCACAATATTCTACCCGGCAGGAGGGCTACATTTTGTGGGGGCTCGTCCGGGATTAGTCAGATTATTCAGATTGTGTTTCAGACACAGTGAACTGTGTGTTCTGTAAAAATTTTTTTTTTATTTTGGAAGTGATTTATTTGTATATTGTTTCTTTGAGAGTTCTGTGAAGAGAACTTTAATGCTTAACAGTCATAACCTGTTTTTTTGAGCACATACTGTTGAGGACACAGGTGAACAAAATGGAGGTTAGTGAGGTTATTGATTGGTGCAGAGAGAAAGGTGTTGAGTTGGACAGGGTTATCATTCTGAGCAATGTACCTGCAGATTGTGAAGACAGAGTAGTTTATGAAGTGCTGGATGCTGCTCTGGGAATGAGGAAATGCAAAGTACTTGATCGCCTCTTTGATAAGACTAAGCGACAGCAGTTTCTTCTGATTGAGACAGTTAGCAATGTTTCAGAGATGTCTATACCTGCAGAGCTCGGAGGACCTGAAGTAGGTACCTGGTACACGCAGGTTGTGCATGTTGCAGCTGAGGCACCTAAACATAGTAGGGAAGATGAGTTTCAGACTAAGCTGATGTCTTTTCTTCAAACAGAGGGAAAGTCGCTATCTGACATTCCAAGTTTGGCTTCCTCTACCCCTGTGCTTGACACTAAACTGGTTGATGCCATAAATTCCCTTGTTCAAACCTGTCATGTGGCTTCATCTGAGGAGAGAGTTGGATATAGGAAGCTGCGTCCGTTCTCTGGGTTCATTCCCACTCCCCATGGAGAGGATGAGTATGAGGTATGGGTGGAGCAGACTACTCACATTCTGGAAGAGTGGCAGTGTTCGGATAATGTCAAAAAGCAGAGACTAGTAGAGTGTCTCAGAGGTCCTGCAGCGGACATTGTAAGGTTCGAAAAGACCGGTAATCCATCTGCTGCTTTCAGTGACTACCTGAGTGCGTTAGAGTCAGCGTTTGGCACCACGGAGGATGCTGCAGATTTGATGCTAAAATTTAGGAGCACTTATCAGAGTGAGGGAGAGAAGCTCTCAGCCTACATAATGAGATTGGATAGGATGCTGCACAGTATGCTGAGGAAAAGAGGCATTGAGTACCCTGCAATGAATCGTCTTCGAATGCAGCAAATAGTTAGAGGTGCTCTTTCAAGTGACCTAGTGGCAATGCGCTTGAGGATGACACATAAGCTGTGTGCTCCTCCTCCTTTCAATGAGCTGATGAAAGAGGTGCGAGAAGAAGAGAGTATGTTGAGACAAAGGAGCTCAGTGCATGCAAATGTTGCTGTGTCTGGGGTGCCCCCGGCAAAGAATGAGTCATCTGGTAACACCAATCTGGCCAATCCAGAAATAGAAATGCTGAAGAGGGAGATTAGGGGGCTAAAGAACGAGGTGTCTCGCTTGTCAGCCGTGGCGAAAGAACCAGTGACTTACGACCGTTCCGTTACACACAGTTTAGCTGCGATTGCAGAAAGCAAAACACCAACCCGACCAGTGAACAAGGCTAACATCTTCTGCTACAGATGTGGAGAAGATGGGCATCTGAAACGTGATTGTACCAAGGAAGAGAATCTCAGGAGAGTAAACCAGCGGCTCATCAAAATGAGACAGCCATCGGGAAATGCCTCCGGGGCTCAGTAGAGGAACGGCCTGAAGCTCCGGGGAAGACACGTTCCACAAAGTGCAAAAGAGCAAGAGCTGAGCAAGTAGATCTTCCGAACGGGTTAGTGGGACCTAGCTCTGTCCTTCCCATCCAGGTGGAAGGTATCTACACTAAGGCTTTGCTGGATAGTGGATCGCAGGTCACACTGTTGTACAGATCCTTCTATGAGAAACACTTAAAGCATCTGCCATTGACACCAATTGAAAATTTGGAGATATGGGGATTAAGCTCGCAGAGATACCCTTATGATGGCTGCTTGTCTTTAAGGCTGGAGTTTCCAGGATCTGTGGCAGGAGTGGCGGAATCCATAGATGCACTTGTGTTGGTCTGTCCCGATCCTGTCATGAAAGGTGATGTCAACATTCTGGTGGGAACAAACACGGCTGTGGTAAAGAAGCTTGTAGACGTTTGTAAGACGAAGATGGGTAATGATTTCCTTCATACCCTGACTGTTCATCCTGAGATCAGAACTGCCTATGAACGGGTCATTGCTGTTAACAAGTGTGATGTTGATGACTGTAGAGGGACAGTCTGGTTTCATCGCCTTAAGCCGTTGAAGTTGACTCCGGGAGAGATTGTGAGGGTTTCTGGAATCCTGAAATACCCAGTCACATCATCTGCTAAAACCCTGTTAGTGGATCAGCCTGAGGAGTCCCGTTTTCCTGAGGAACTGCTAGTGAGAGCTGAGGTGCAGTCTGCTACTGCTGTCCAGTCAAAAAGAATTGGAGTCACTATTAGGAATGTCTCTTCTTGCCCAGTGACAATTAAGAGAGGAATGCCGATCGCCCATGTGTTTCCGGTTGACGTTGTGCCTACCGTCTCTAAACCCAGAGAGAGTAGTGGCCAAACCAAACTGACCAAGGATTCATTTAATTTTGGCGATACATCGGTTTCTGCAGAATGGAAACAACGGCTGGCCGAAAAGATGTTGGAGAGAAAGGATGTTTTCTCCTGCGATGAATTTGATGTGGGATGTTCAAAGAGTACTCAACATCACATTAGACTGACAGAGGAGAAGCCTTTTCGTGAGAGGTCACGGCGGCTGGCACCAGCCGACATTGAGGATGTTAGGCAGCACTTGGAGAAGCTAAAAGAGGCTGGAATTATTGCCGACTCCAGAAGTCCCTACGCTTCACCGATCGTCGTAGTCCGAAAAAAGAATGGACAGATAAGGATGTGTGTGGACTACAGAACGTTGAATCGTCGCACAATCCCTGACCAATACACTGTTCCACGCATTGAAGATGCTCTGGCCTGCTTAAATGGAAGCCAGTGGTTCAGTGTATTGGACCTTAGGAGTGGATATTATCAGATCCCTCTGAGTGAAGACGACCAAGAGAAGACAGCTTTCATTTGCCCAGTGGGGTTTTACCAATTCCAGCGGATGCCACAAGGGATTTGTGGAGCTCCCTCAACTTTCCAACGAGTGATGGAAAAGACGGTGGGAGACATGAACCTGTTGGAAGTGCTGGTCTACTTGGACGACCTCATTATCTTTGGACGGACTTTGGAGGAGCATGAGGAGAGGCTGCTTAAGGTGTTGGACCGCTTGCAGAGCGAAGGGTTGAAGTTGTCCTTGGACAAGTGCACCTTTTGTCAGACTTCTGTCAGCTATGTGGGTCACATCGTGTCTCAAGATGGTGTCTCGACTGATCCCTCCAAAATTGAAGCTGTCCAGTCATGGCCCATGCCCCAGAACGTGACAGAGCTACGTTCCTTCTTAGGTTTCTGTGGGTACTACAGGAGATTTGTCAAAGACTATTCAAGAGTGTCTTACCCACTAAACCAGTTGCTGCAGGGGTGTCTACCAGCTAAGACCTTGAAGAAGATTAAAGCTGGGGACAACACCGACAGAGTTGTGTACAAAGCCTCGGATCCATTTGGAAGTAGATGGATTGATGCTTGTGAAGCTGCTTTCAATGAGTTGAAGGTGAGACTTACCCAGGCTCCTGTGTTGGTCTTTGCTAATTCTCAGCTCCCGTACGTCTTACATGTTGATGCCTGTTGTGAAGGGTTGGGCGGGGTGCTGTATCAGGACCAAGGACAGGGGTTGAAGCCTGTAGCGTTTGTCAGCAGAAGCTTGACGCCTTCTGAAAGGAACTACCCAGTCCATAAACTTGAGTTCTTGGCGTTAAAGTGGGCTGTTGTTGACAAGCTACATGATTACCTGTACGGAGCAAAGTTTGAAGTGCAGACGGACAACAACCCGCTAACTTACGTTCTGACCACAGCCAAACTGGATGCTACGGGACATAGGTGGCTGGCGGCCCTTTCTGCATACGACTTCAGTCTCAAGTACAGGCCTGGGAGACAAAATGTTGATGCCGATGCTTTGTCTCGTCGTCCTCATAGGGGAGTGAAGGAGCAGGAGTGGACTAATATATCATCCTCTGGAGTGAGATCCCTGTGTAAGCTGCCAGTGCAAGACAAGTACAACTGTTTCACATCTGCCAGCAGGATTGTCACGTCATTGGGAGGATCTCCTAAATCAGTCCCCAGAGCTTACTGCAACTTAGCCACTCTGGATACTTCTATGATTCCAAAACTGAGTTCTGCAGATCTGTCACGTGCCCAGCAAGAGGATCCTTGTCTTGGAGAGATATGGAGAGCTCTTAAAGGAGGAGATCCATGCAAGGTCAAGAAGGAATCTCACAAGGATCTTCCCTTGATCATGAGAGAGTGGGAAAGATTAGAAATTGAGAATGGAGTGATGTCTCGATGCACTCAAGCTCCAGACAAACCCCGTCGTAAGCAATTGTGCTTGCCCAGAAAGTTCCATGAAGTAGTTCTCCGGTCGCTTCATGATGATTCTGGACACCTGGGATTTGACAAGACTTATGGCTTGGTAAGAGAGAGATTTTACTGGCCACGAATGAAGATGGAGGTGGAGAAGTACTGTCAAACATGTGCCAGATGTGTTCAGAGGAAGACCCTGCCGAAGAGAGTTGCGCCATTGTCACACTTATCCAGTGATGGACCTATGGATCTTGTGTGTATGGACTTTCTATCCATTGAGCCAGACTCCAAGAACATTGGCAATGTCTTAGTCATCACTGACCATTACACAAGGTATGCCCAAGCGTTTCCGACTAAGGACCAGAAGGCGTCCACAGTTGCAAAGGTCCTGTGGGAGAAATACTTCATTCACTATGGACTGCCTAGACGGATGCACTCGGACCAGGGACGGGATTTCGAGAGCAGGCTCATCCAGGAGTTGTTTGACTTGTTAGGAGTGGAGAAATCCCGGACAACACCATACCATCCCCAGGGTGATCCGCAACCCGAACGGTTCAACCGGACACTCTTGGATATGTTGGGGACCCTGGATCCAAAGCAGAAACCACAGTGGAGCCGTCACATTGGGCATCTTGTACATGTGTACAATAGCAGCCTGAATGAAGCCACAGGATACTCGCCTTACTTCCTTATGTTTGGAAGGGAAGCCAGATTGCCCATAGATCTGAGTTTTGGTGTGTCTAGTGATAGTACTTCCACTAAGTCTTACCAGCGTTTTGTCAAAATCATGCAGCAAGAGCTGAAGTCTGCATACGAGCTGGCGGAGGAAAAAGCTGGAAAGAAGAATGCAGGAAATAAGAGGAGATATGATCAGAAACTGCATTACTCTCACCTTGTTCCTGGAGATAGAGTACTGATCAGGAATCTTGGATTGCAAGGAAAGCACAAGTTGGCGGACAGATGGAGTGCTGAGCCCTACCTTGTCCAGAGCCAGATGCCTCACTTACCTGTGTTCCGTCTTAAGCCAGAGAGTGGAACTGGACCTGTCAAGATTCTGCATAGGAATCACATTCTTCCTGTTGGACAAGGGTTGAGACAGCAACAAGTTCCTGACCGTGTCCTGGAACCCAGGAAGAGAGTTCTGAGGAAAAGGAAGAATGCTGGACAGACACAAAGTCCAGCACAAGAAGGTGAGAATACATCTTTAAGACAGGAAACAGAAGCCAGAGTTGATCAGAATTCTGATGTGAGTTCAGAGAGTGAGGATGAAATGTATGGAGTGTGGTATCACGTACCTGAAAATCATCCTTTGACTACTAGGAGAAGAGACACTCCTCAGAATGATGCAGGGATTTCTGATAATGCTGTTTCAGAGACTGTTGAACAGAGTGTTTCTGAGAAATTTGAGCATTCTGGAGCCAGAGTTGAGATTCCTCAAAGAGTTGAGACAGATGAGTCTGTAGAGTCTGTTTCAAGACTGCTACCAGAAAGTGATTTTGATAACTTGCAAAGTGTGAGCCAATTGTCAGACATTGGTGATGATGTTGAAAGTGATGTGCAAGACTTTTCAAATGTGAATGACGATGATGTAACTCAATGTATCTCTACTGAGGTAATTGAAGAGCAGAGAAGGTCTCAAAGAGAGAGAACTGTGCCTAAGAGGTTTACCTATGATACTCTTGGGAAGCCAAAATTTGAGCCTGCCATTGCTCAAACTAAAAGTGTAAGTCCTGTTAGATATTGTTCTACCATCTTTTTGTGGATGAATGTGCCTGCAAGAAGGTTAAGTACTTGTTCAGTTGATTTAACGACTAGACGCTAATTTGAGTAATTTGTTTCAGTGTAGACATGGGTCTATTGTGATATTATTTTGCTCATTCATTTGAAAAGTGGATAGGTGTCTAAAAATGTGAAAAGAGATAAGGTATTGAAATGTAAATTGTGTGATTTTCAGTTTTCCCTCGTTATGGGGACATAACGATTCTTGGTGGGGGGAGAATGTAGAGACCTGGATAAATGTTTGTGTTTCTAAACGTATAACTGTCGTTTTCTTTGAAAAGAGAATTTTATTATTTGTATCTTGGGTCTGAAAACATACACTCAAACAAAGTGTAGATCGACTTTGTTTTTTTTTTATGTTTAAATATGAGACATGTTTATAAAGTTTTTTTCAATATGTGTGTAAGGGAAAACAACTCATAAAATGGCTGCATTTTATTGAGTATTCTGAGAGAGTTTCAGT